AAGCTTTGCGGATAGCGTAGCGTGCCAAGCGAGGATGGTGTCTGCGACTCTTGAGGTCCTTGGGGTGAGTGCGTAGCCGGTCGGGATCCTTGTTATTTTCGTAATGTCAGAGCCATTGAGTGGACAATTCTCGATAACTCCTTGACGGATCATAGAAGGGTCAGTGGCTCGGTGTTCCTCGGGGACTCTGAGGAAGATCCTGTTGTCTAGCTCGGGAGCCGTAGGTCTTTTCCCTAGCGGCCCTTGAGGGACTGCCTTCTCGGGGCAGGACTGTTGGTGGGTGGCTGGCGAGGTCTGCTCGTAGGGCTGGGACCGTTCGGGGGGGGCATGCTGGCCCGTCAGGATTTGAGTCAGCGTTGAAGCGAGTCTTCTAGTACTCCACAGCGGTCTTGTTAGCGTCGTTGAGGCTCTTAAGGGTCTGTTCGATGTTGGCTGCAAGGGTCCTTCCAACGTGGTGGAAGGAGTCCTGCAAGGCGCGGAGATTGGTGATTTCGCTTAGCGAAAAGTCTTCTGGTCTGTCATGGCCGCTGTCGCTTGCGAAAGGGTCTTGCGAATGGCGTAGAAATCGGACTCTCGGCGGGTTCGTGACGGTTGTCTCAGGCGTGCTGGCTGCTCTGCGTTTTCGGGGGGACTTCGGGGGGGATGACGGGATGCCTTCCGACGAGTCCCAAGCTGGGGTGCATTCGTTGCGCAAGGCGGCTGCAGGCGGGCGGCCTTGGCGCGGGGTCTCCGGCTGGGGGGACCCCAATGCCTCGGAGGGCATCTGGGTGGGAATGCGAGAAATGAGCTGTTAACGTATTTGGTGTCACATGCCCGGGCGCACTAACAGCGCTACCGGTGAATGATGAGTAGGAGGGAGAGTTGGTCAGCTCTTTTATTGCCACTCGCACAACTACATCAAGTCCAAAGCAAGGCTGATGACGAAGATGGCACCGCCGGGCTGCGACTGCAGAGTCTAGCTATCAGCGGCGACACATGCGTCATTTGCATCAACGAACTCGAAGATGTCGAAGTTGTCCATGGGTTGACTTGTGGTCATGCCTTCCACGCTGTCTGCATTGACACATGGTTGACAAGCCGACGAGCCTGTTGCCCACTCTGCAAGGCCGATTATTACGACTCTATGCTCCGACCCAAGCCTGGAGAGGGTGGGCCCACCAATCCGACAACCAACATCGACGCGGATCAAACCAACTCGTACATGAATATGCCAACTGCCCCAACCACCGTTTGGCACGACCTCCATAGACAGAGGAGAGGCGCTGGTGATCATTTCATAGGTTCTCCGGCAACCTCAGTTGGAACTGTCACCGCAATCGTACAGCCGCAGCTTACTGAACCGGAACATACGCTAGCTAGAAGTCCTCTCTGGTGTGCCCGACGAGAACTCTTGCAACGGGCCTTCGTGGCCCCTTATAGGATGGGCCAAAGCAACAACCGAGCAACGCAGGAGGAGTCAGTAGCCTACGGTCCCGATACTACACCCTCTGAGCTCGAGGCAGGCGGCCAGCTATCACCAGCCCTTGTCACAGCGCCTGCTCGGTAACGTATGTCACCCACCTTTGGGACGCCCCAAAAAAAACCACATCAGGAACAACCATTTCCTTCGACCTATTGTTCTACCTCTCTCGATGCAACGACAATACAGCTACCCTCCTCACTAGAGAAATCAGATGCGCTAAATTCATCTAGAGGAACAGCAGATTCGCCAGCCTCAACCTGGGCCCTGTAGACAGCTGCTACGTCGGCAAACCTCGAATTAGGACTCAATCTGACCTTCTTCCTCTTCCTCACCCTACCACCTTCAACTTGGGCTTCAAGGGAATCAATTTTCCGTAAAGCAACTGCCAATTGGGTATCCTTTTCCTGGAATGCCTTGCTGACCTTCTGGAATAATAGGCGTTGTGTGGTTGTGGGTTGTTCGAGCTTATTGAACAAGCCCAGTTGGTCCCTCAGCTGAACAGCCTTCCTAGGCGTCGACCAAATAACTGCAGAGGTATCCGAAGCCCAGTTTGGGATGGACTTACTCCCAATTACAGGTGTAATCGATGGATCAGCCTCGCTGGCCCCTTGGTTCGAGTTCTCAAGGAGTAGAGGGCTCAGAAGAGGCTTGGCGACAGAGACAGGCCATAGTCCTGTTGATTTCCAACCACTCTTTATATTCTGGCTTGTCAGACTTACCTGGCGTGCTTTTCGATAGCAGGCTAGGAAATTCCGTTTCCCTACGACTGTTGAATCGCCCCATTGGCTTAGGAATCCAAGCTCCTTCCTGTAGGCCATCTTCAGAGGACCAAAGACCGACTGATCTAGAGGTTGTAGGACATGTGAAGAGTGTTGGGGTAGGGAAAGAAGTTGAATCCTGTTCTTGAAGCATAGAAACATGAATTCGGTAGTCTCATGGCTTCCATGGCCATCGAGGATCAACAGTCTGGTCTCCAAGGGGTCGGTCGGCTGGGTGGAGGGTATGAAGATCTTCTCGAGCCATTCAATCGCAGTTGAGTCCGTAATCCACCCGTTTTCAGTAGCTGTGAAATGCCAGCTAGCATATGGAGCTAGATCGGTTGGAAACCATTGCTGTTGAACTGATTTCCCCTTGAAAATAACCAAAGGACTAAGAGCAGTACCAGTCGCAGAGATACACTCAATGAATGAAGTCCAGACGCGCGATCCAGGTTGTTTTTTCGGATAGACGTTTTCTCTCCAGCCCCGAGGACTAATCCATTCAACCCCCTGCCCTCAAGGATCCCAGATTCATCCATATTGTATCGATTAGCCGGCTTAATGGCCTTAATCTCGGGGATTTTCAGGTACCTGAACCAACGACTGATGATATCAGTTGACGCCCCATTAACACGCTTGGAATCAATGGATCTGCTTCTCTGGACCTTAATAGAAGGATTTCTCTTGAGGAAAGCTTGAGCCCAGTTCTTTCCGAGGGTCTGGGTGTCGCCTTTTGCCTGGAGGACTCGCCCAGCAGGCTCTCTGAGCTGTTGATGAGTTAGTGGGAGCCCTAGCGCGGCCTGGATACGAATCCAATGGGCCAAATAGTCCTCTTGGGTAGTCGATAGCTTCTGGAGATCGGAGAAAGCTGTTACCCAAGGCTGTGTGCCATGGAGCCGATGGTGTAGAGTAGATCGCGGAATACCCGATTCCATGGCCGCTTTGCGTAGACTTTGGCCATTTCCGATAGCTGTTAAAGCCTGATTGACGTCATCCTCGGAGTATGCCTTCGACATTGCGTAAAGAAAGAAAATACAGAGATTCAAATCAATTGAGGTTGGCTTGGTGATGGAATTGTAGGATACATGATGGAGGTAAGAGTGGCGTTGAGGCATTTTTGGGTGTCCCAAAGGTGGGGGTGTCCCAAAGGTGGGTGACGAACGTTAAGGATGCGCATAAGTAGGCAGGTTTGAGGAAGGACGGTTAGGTAGGACTGCAGAGATGTAGCCTCCTATTGCATGGGAATAGCAGCCAGCCGAACGGTATCGCTCTATGACAAAGTGGTTCTGAACGCGAGTTGACGCATCTAATCAAGGAGCACTTTTTCCCACCTCGCCTCAAACGTTGCCTCGCGTAGGTCTTGGCCTTAGACAAGACCAGATTATCAATCTATGCTACACCACTAGAACTAACAACCGAAGACAAAGCCCCACCGGGAGGGATGGCCTCAGCTGCTGGCGCATGGATGAACTGTCGGTCTTTAGGGCTCAGCTCAGCTTGTGTCTGTGAAATAGAGGCCTCTGCATCGTCGCTGCTATCGGGACTAACACTGTTACGGCCCTTCAGCCACTTTTTCTTTGCCTTGAGAAGGACGTTGGAATTGATGTGGTGGATACAGAGCTGCTGCTGCACCTCAGGGAACTGATCGTCGAGAACGGCTTTCATCTGGTTGTCGAAATCGGTGTTGATGACATCCGGTTGTCGAAATCGGTGATGATGACATCCGGTTGTCGAATCGAGTGCTGCTCTGCTAATTGTCGAATACTCTGGGAAAGAACTGAAACCCCTCGCGTCTCTCGTTATCATCTAGGACGAAGGCAGCTCTGTAGACGGAACCAAGGCATGTCTGTCCCGTTGCTTAGAATAAGGGAAGCTTGAAGCGGTTGGTATTCTATGTGTTGTCGAAGCTGATCACCTCGGGGAACCGCTTCCACATCTGGAGACAGTAACTTAAGGAATGACGACAAGCTTTACGGTAATCACCATCATCATCAGTGGAAACTATCCTCCAGATGTTCAGCTTCCTTACTTCGGCTACTGGTATATAACCTGCTGTCGACGCACGAGGGTGAAGAGGAGTTTAGTCATCGGCTAGTAGCGGTGTTAGGGTTTGTCCGTCTTTGGTTTGTCCGTGTTGTCTCGTATCCTACTGCTACGGAGGGAAAGCCTTCGGGTAGCTCCTTGGTGCAAATTTCCATTGTGCCTGCAAGTGATAATGGCTCACCGATAGCTCGCCGAGACAGATCGTGACCCCGCCGAGGGACCTGCTGTCAGGGCCTGACGGATGCGGACATACGAGTCAAGTGCGAAAGGTAGCACAACTGGGTATATCAGCTGCTGAGAGCCTCGCTCCTAAGCAGGAGGAGGCCAGAGTTCAGCTGTTCTATCTGCGGACCCCTACAATCGGACTGTGGCGCGGCAACTGAAGACCTCTTCACTCTGTTCATGACGTTGATTCTGACACCTGCCCCGCCATCCACTGTGGGTCTGGTAATAGCTCTTTGCTCTCTCCAACTGCTCCCTATCATCCCACTTGCTCCGTTACCTCGCTCACTCCCGTCTCCCCCGCCTTCGATGTTAATGGATTGATGCGTGGACTGTCCTCGGATGCTTCAAGCCGTCGCTCATGTATAGCGATGTTTTGCCTGGATTCTAATAGCTCCTGTTGCGACCGATGATGGCGCAAGCGTGGTGCCTTGGACATGTGGACAGAGTGAAACGAGTTCAGTTCCCACGTCCTGTGCTGGAAAGTAGGTACGCCGAACCGATGGAGAGCATGCTCAATTGGGGACTTGAGTAGCGGCGCGGAAGAAGCTATTATCAGAATAACCGCTTCCATTCGGTTCCAAACGTACATCGGTATTAAATCTCGGTACTTTTCAGGGGAAGTGTAGTCAAAGGTGTGCATGATGACGACCCTCATGACAACGGCAGTGGTTGCAACGAGACCAAGCGCCATCAAGAAGGTGAGAAGACAACGTTCCACGATTGATCGACTCAGCTTCCAAATCAGGAACATTGGCATGACTGCCAACGTCAAATCGCCGAACATGGCAGCTGCTTCCAGGAAAATTAGCATCATGTAATACAGGCGCATCATTCCCTGATACTTACCTACGATCACGTAGCCGCATATCCAAATTTGCTCCGCGCTGAAACACCGGGCACCCGGAACTTCTTCCCAATGGGCATTAATCGGCCGACACTGCAGGAACTGAAAAACTTCCGTGCCAATGGCGCAGGCAGCTTGGATGCAGATAGTAAACCAGATGAATGCGCGCCACGTCGTGGTCCGGGCGAATTTCAGTAGTAGACACCCGACGGATATCCTGGTAAGGGTTGGTACAAAGGGCGTCAGCAAGACAACCATATATACATATCGAAGGATCTTGACACCCTGCTCTGGGGTTACATCGTAGCTGTGACGGCCAAATCCAGAAGCAACGGTAATTGCGAAGAGCGAGTAAATGACTACTTCGAAGAGCTGCGTCGGCGGTCAGCGTCTTGTATACTCATCCGTGCCAGTTGCTTTACTCACGATTGCGATCGAGATCGTATAATCCGAGGCATCCAGCTTATGTGTCGGAGTTACGCGAGTATAGATTCTTACTGAGAAAATGAGGATGGCAAGAACGAAAAAGGGTGTGACGATAGCTAGAGCCCGCGGCCCCAACGAGTCGTGCGACAGAGAACCGTCATCGTTCATAATGGGCAAACCCAGAATAAGTTCGGTCAAGCAGTACCAAAGGAGAGAAGGTGAGGAAACTCGAAGTGTAGCAGCTTACCTAGCATTCACTGCACCTCCTTATGAGCAATGAATGATAGGATGGCATGGATGATGGCCAGGCTATGACCAGGAGAAATCATATGGCCTTCGTTCTTTCTGTTTGCCTTCTGGCCTTCCGGGTGACTGAGAGGCCAGAAGCCGGCCGCCGTGGCTTAAGCCAATAAGTACGCTGCTTACAAGCCTCATCAGAACAGCAAAGGCCCGTGGCTGAGACAAGTCTTGACAGGATTGGATATGCTTGCTTGTTTCGCATAGCGCAAAAGCTAATACCAGCCACCCCAATAGCGCCATCACATGCCACAATAACTCGAACACCAGAAACTGAGGGCCACTACGGAAGTGTATTTCAAAAGTTCTGTCTGCCGCTAGCAAGGTAACAGCACGCCACTATCACAGATACCTTGAGTACTTCGTGCTTCCTGTAACTCGATGAGATTCTAGCGAGCTTCAGTGCTGTGGTCGCTTATAGGAAATTACCTACAGGGGAAGATGAAGCCTGATGCTATAGGGTACCAGGCGCTGATGATTTTCGGACGATGTTACTGTTGGTATCTCTGATATCTGCTAGCGCGACAAGGACCTTGGCAGGACAATACTTTTGAAATGCACCTCCGTCACATGGACGGACATAAGCTTCCGGGGCAAAGACGGAGACTGCCGAGCCGGGAGTATTCTCGGACGATGACATGTCGCATCCTCGCTTGGCGTGGTTGCCGTCTGAGAGCAATGTATTGGAAGAATTGGCCGCCATGGCAGACCCATGCCCCACCAGCTCCTCGTCTTCGACTCTACGCCTGGCAGCCCCTGGCTAACCTGGCCCTCGCTGCAGCGCTGGTCGCGCGCTGTGACTATCAGTACCGCCAACTGGTTCCCCTGGCCCTTTGGCGTCACCCAGTGTATATGGGGTTTCATTCTGACCGTTAAAGTGTTTGCCGGCTGGTGTGTTGGCCGCGAAGCCGCCGGCGCCTTCGCCCTGCGTGTCATCGACGATGAGAATTTCGAAACGAGGGAGGCCAGGAGGCTGTATCTCTACAGCAAGGAGGACGATCTCATCACGTCGGACGATATAGAGATGTATATTGCCGAATCGAGGCAGAAGGGCTACCAGATACGGGTCGAGATGTTCGAGGGCAGCGGCCACGTCGGCCATATGCGCATGCATCCTTAGTGCTACTGGAAGTCCATCGCCGACTCATGGGACTGGACGAACCGGAGGCCTGACAAGGAGTAGACCCATTTTTGTCTGCTGTACGTTGCGTAGGGTGAAGCGATCGACATGTTCACAGACAATCATTGCGCGCGATGAAGATTCGTGGCGTTAGGTGTTGATGGTTGGAATGGCGCTTGGCAATTTAAGGTAATGATAACATAACTACATGGAATTCAATCAAGAACGGAAAAGAGCAAAAGTTATGCGGTGCCGTTGCTAGTGAGTGAAACTACGTGACTCTTGAAGAAGAGCTGAGATTTGTATCATGTCGACCTGTGCCACCGTCATCCTAGACGCTAGTCAGCTGGTTGGCGACATCCAAACATACTCTCAACGTTTCTCGAGCGTGATCTCCGGTCACGTAGCAAATAGGTAACAAGTACATACGAGACATATCTTCCTTGGGATGGAGTACGTCCTCGAACCGAGGTAGATGGAAAATACGGTGCAATCCATCCTATTGATGATGATGATATTTGCATTTAAACGCCAGGATATGCTCGAGAGGCAAAAGATGCCCGCACCGGCTGTCGCCTCGAAAATGTCTAGGTCTACACTGCGCTAACTTCGCGAATGCGAATTATGTCATACTAGATCCCTCGCGGTTTAGGAGTAGGTTGTTCGTCTGTTATGGGGGTCTGGCCTTGTTAGGCTTTAGGGCCATGGGGCCGGGGGGATTATTGGCCTCAGCAGTCCTGAGATTCTCTGTTTACTCAACAGGGTTGAGCATCTAGTAGAACCTATCGTACTTTGATGTGACGCATGCTTGATGGAGGGAGCATGGACGTTGATGCTGGCTCTTCACGGCGACCAATATTCGGATACTTTTCAGGTACAGAGCCCCCTGGTTTCGGAGCTCAGAGGGATCTTCGACGCTACCGACAATAGTGACCAACCTTAGTCCAAAATTACCAACTTGATGGACAAGCTTTTCAGGAGGGACCCGTTCCTCCACAAGACTGGCGAATGAGTGCCCGCGGGCTTGCCCAGGAACCACCCATCCGGCACCAGACATCAAGGCGTGATACACCACAACTCCGGACTGGGGAAGATCTTCCGGAAGTTTTCGGTTAGTGTCCGCTATTGAAACGCCGTTGTTAGTGAGCTTGGTGGTGCTCGGGTGCTCCCGCAAATCATCTAACGGGGTCACCGTTTCCCCACACACCTGAGTCAACTTGGACTTCGTCCGCCTGGTCGGCGGGATTTACCGTGAGAAAACTCTATCAGGTTGCCCAACATCAGCCCTCCGTCTTCCAATGAAAGGGCTAAGTGAGTTCACTCCGCACTCGGGTGCCATTCTGCAAAGACAAGGTCCAACGTGAACCGGCTTGAGGGTGTAACATTGCCGCCTTCTGTTCCCTCGAGTTTGCCTTATGATGCTGTCATATCCGCTGAAGGGCGCCAGATCAGCCCAGCTGGCGGGCTATCTTCGACGTGCCACTCCGCACACCTACTCGCCCACACCTCGGTGGCCAATCTGCTCCCAGGAATAGATAATAGCATATCGTATCCGTTCCCATGTAGGCCCAATTGTTCGGACGTGTGGGGTAGTTGAGTCAAAGCAAACTTCAATCTAAGGTGCTGAACATCGCTATGGCCGAGTGCAAATCTGCCGACCCTACAGTCCGGATGCTCTTGAGTTTGTATGCGCAGACACATCCAAGGAGGCCATGCGGTGGCTGCAGATGGAACAGCCATGGTATGCCAGTGTCTAGGTGTCAGGAGCATGTGGCCGCCATGCGTGGGACGACCATAGGAGATGCAGAGTAGCTTTAACAGTTATGCATTCTGAGCTCGACAAGGCGAAATAATCTCGCCATTAGTGTCTAATGAAACAATCCAAACGGATTCAAGGTGGAAAGGTGAATCGAAGGATCTAGGCCCCTAGAGTTACGCATATTCGCCTCTTTCTTGTTTTTTTCTGGCTCGAGGACCTTTGGCTTCTATAAAAGCGTCTTCATTTGGTCGTAACTCCACCCAGCGATTCAATCTGATCGACGCGGACCTAGTGGCCGGCGCATTCGTATGAAGGTAATCATTTACAAAGTCTCCAGCAGGGCGTTAATCATAAATCGGCCCGTCACAAAGTTTGGAAAATATTTGTCCTTCAGCAATATTCAGGATGCTGAAAGGATCAGCACAATACAGATGTGGCGTCTACGGCTGCTTACCATTGTCAGGTTGAGCGGCACAAGGACACCCAATCAGGATACGCCCTCCAGCTTCAGAAGCGTATTCCGATTGGCCGCTCTTGTTCGTCACATCCCGCTATCGCCATTTTTCAACCTGATGCACGTGCAAAGTGCGAGACATGTGATGGTACATCGTGTGTTGGCACCACCCTCACAGCCACCAAGACCAAGCTGGCCAACGTTTAACGAGGGGATGCCGTTATTCACCACCAAAGACGCCTGACCATCATAGGCGCTGAGGACCCTGTTATTCTGGCGAGATGTAAACGCCATGTGACCGAGGCCGGACTGCTTGCCGATGCCCGGCGAGGTGGGCTGTGATCTCTGGTCGCCGTGGCCCATGCCCTCTTGTTGCTAAGCCTGCACAGCAATTATTATGTTCCTGCTGTTTGTCGAGGATGGCTCGCCAAGCCATGCAGGCCTCCGTAGATGCAAGCGGCCTGGTCTATGCGGCACAATGCTTCTTGCTTTTTGACGTCCAAGCCCAGGTCTGAGTGCACTCGCTTGACTTTGGCGCCTTGCCTGCGATCTGTGGCTACACTAGCTTGTCGATGCTTGACTAAGAATGCTTCGCGGCAGACACCAGGCCGGCCAGGCGTCGTGGCTTGCAGGATGATCGCAGGGCTGGTGCTTGCTAGTGCTTTCCCAAGGGGGTCTCCTACCCAGTGACACGGTGTGAGGCATGGACGGAGTGCCCTTGTCAGCATACAGAAGCCTGCAGCTGAGCCGTGTCACGCAGCCACAAGGTTTCAAAATGGCAGCTTTGCCTACTTTATGCTGTAATGAAGGAGCTGTAAGCTCAACCAGTGGCATAAGAACTGGCGCACTCTAAAGTCTTCCGTGGGCTCCTACAGCCTACTATCAGCTTGTACAGCGCTAGTGCCTGTTGACGCTGCAAATGGACATGATCGACAGATGGGGTGCTTTTGAATCCCGAACTCCGAAAGGCTGGAGGCCAAGGTTTTTGATGCGCATGCTCATGGTGTGTGTTCAAGGCTCAAGGTGTGCATGGAGGACTGTAATGTCCCCATGGGAAGTACCCTACGTTTCGGTCAGCCCCAATAAAGATAATAACGGCTGTCTTGCAGTTCGACGTGTCGTGCGTAAAGACCTGGGCAATAGTACGACTTCTGTCACCCCTCAAATCCGACTCCCGCCGGCCATCATGACCTCTCTACCTACGACTTACAGACGATTCCACTTCACCTTGCTGCAATACTTAAGCTCAGGGACCCAGTATTTGAGCTCAGAGTTTCCGACACCATCCCTCTGTTACCTTACCTACACGGATGATATTCTGACAACGTCACTGGATCACACGGAAAGCTTGAAACAGCCCTGCATACATCTCATGATCTCCAGTCAAAAAGAAGCGCCGGGCTTCACGGATATCAAGAGACAGGGGGCTAAATTTGCCATGTTGTAAGTAGGTTCCAAGTAATGCGAGCGGCAAACGTGTCTAAGTCTACTCAGCCGCGTCCAATTTATATCGGACTGGCAATGTTTAGCCAACATCACCCCTTTCCCACCTCGTCACGAGACGCCGATCACCGTACAAGCATGGTGGTTTGAGGATCTTGAGACCCTACAGGTGGTGTTTTTACCTTCCCGTAATCCCATTTTGAACACAAAACATTCATGGTCCAAGGATCATTGGGTTATTGAAGCTGTCTTTACTCTTGTTGAGGCGGAGAAAGCGGACGATCACATGGTGGGCTTCGAGACGGTAGACGGAGAGTTGGTGGTGCGAAGCATGCAGTTCAGATGTAGCGAGCACGGTGCAGGCTTGCATGTTCACACTCAATAAATGGTCCTGGAGATGGAACTATGGGACATGCTAAAGAGCCGGAGTATCAATATGATCCAAGCACGAGGGGTTACCTTCTCACGCCTTGCCCACCCTGCCAGCAACAGCATGGGTGCTTGAGTGCAACTCGGGTGTTTTGATGATGATGAAACTACAATACGTCAGCGAGCCTCCGCTCTCGGTACTTAGTCTCTTGTAGCTGGCTGGGGCTTGCCTAGAAGGCACCCGTGGAACTATTAAAGAAAATATGTTGCTGTTGACAAGGTCGGCTTCTGAGCGGACATGGCCTTCATCGGTGCGACTGCTGTGCAGGCAGGTCTGGAGGGGCGCCAGAGGGTGCTTTAGTTTGGGTTGGGAGTTGACGCTGAGCCGAAAGTCGACCAACGGGCTTTCTTCCAGAGATTCAAAAATGACGAAACAAGACAAAACCTGACACATGTCAGCCGCGTGAGTGTCTTGCGCATTGAAGTGCGGCTTGAAGCTGAGTGTCGCTTCGGTCTGGGCCATCCACTGACATCTGGATGCAGCCCTCCATTTGAGATTTGAGACCTCCCCCAACAGTAGATGTGTCGCACAACCCATGAAGAAGCAATGTGTTTACAATGGACTCAGGCGATCAGTCGCTGTCACCGCTGCGGTCCAGCCACGTCGGCTGGATGCCACCCGGCCCGAACAGGGTGATTGCCATCGACAGGCCGCACCAGCCGGGAAACGACATCTGACATCGCCACGATCCTCAGCCAGTGACATTCTAGCTCGTATCAAGCCACGCACGACCTCCTAAATTTCACCCGTCTTGCACACCTCCCTCCCTAATGCCAGTGGTATACTCGGCCACCGACCTCCCATCTTTTAACAACGACAGGTCAAGCCCCGGCCGTAGTCCGTCACCGCTCGACCGTGAACTCGAATGCTCAAGCGGGGGAACGTCAACCCAGAAGGGTCGGTCCCCGAATGCCATGCGCCCAAATGGTCGCCATATGGGAACGATCAAATCGCCGTGTGTTCATAAGTGGCGGGAATCAAGTTTGGCGCCAGTGCCCACCCCCTCACCTGGGGCAGCTTTACGGGCTGGCTAGCGTTCCAGCTCGTGGGCACAGGCTTTTCTCCCAGGATTCACATGCCCGTCTCCGCTTCGTTTGTTCGTTCTGCGGGTTCCTCGTATCCAATACTTGATCTCTCTTCGTCTTGAATTCCTCGACTTGCGTGACGACTTGCGCGACGACTGTGCCCATGATCCCGAACGACTCCCTTCACTGCCGCCCTCAATATGTCCGAAAGCTCTCGAGGCACGCTCGTGCCGCCGTGGTACAAATCCAACTTGCCGAGCCGCGATGAAGAAAACATCGCCAGCATCATTTGGGGGTTCACGCTGGGGTTGGGCGTCTGGACCGGGACGAAGGCGATACAACAGACCATGGCGACGTTCGACAAGATACACCGAGTCAGCGCATATATTGCGCTAGTTTGGGCCGAGTGGATAGCCTGCATGGTCTTTGGAATCGCAACGTGGATTTTCCTTCGAGGATGGATTGGACCCAGGTGAGCAACGCATGAAACCATCCCCGCAAAGGTCGCGATGCTCATGATGATGAGCAGCTTCGAAGTCTTCTTTTTGGCCCGTAAGTTCATGACCCGGAGAGCCGGCTAATCCCAAGAACCTGTTTGCTGTTTGCAAGAAACCCACTAACTAACCTACGAAGTCGTTTTCTGGTCCGTCCAGGTGCAGTGCCTCATGCAAATCATCGTCAACCGAATTGCTCTCCTCATGCACGACCCAGCCCAAACAACGCGCCTCAGATGGGGCGTCTTTCTCTTGCTGCTGGCCGTCAACGTCAGCGTCTTCTGCGTATGGATACCGGCACGGCTGCAGATCAGCCCGGGCATCACCCACGCCAACGACATATGGGACCGTGTTGAGAAGGGCATCTTCCTCGTCATCGACGCAGCGCTCAACCTGGCCTTCATCTTCCTGGTACGGTCGCGATTGATCGCCTACGGCCTCACCAAGTACAAGGTCTTGTTTCAATTCAACCTGGCCATGATCTGCATCTCGATGTCTCTCGATGTTATGCTTATCGGCCTCATGTCTCTTTCGAACAACTTCGTGCAAGTACCTCCGCATTGTGGGTTTGTTTGCTCTCTAGTCCTAACAGTCGCAGCTATACCCTATTCCACCCCCTCGCCTATCTCGCCAAACTACACATTGAGATGAACATGGCTCAGCTCATTGCCAAGGTCGTTAAATCCTCTCACGAACTCAACTCCTTCGAGAGTACTCTCCATCACAGTACCCGGGCCAGGAGGCCGACAACTCCATCACGGACGTTCTCTGGGTAAGACAGAGCCCAGGGGCAGGCTGCCTTACACCGTGCCCAAGTGGCCGAAGGATTATGACTTCCCCGTCGTCAATCTGACCGAGCCCGACGGCAGCTTGGTGCGCGACTCGTCCAAGTGGCAGTCCGATTTCACCGAGGGCCATCTCATCGACTACCACCACGTTGACGCCAAGAATATCGAGCCCCTGTATGAGTTTAGTTTCGGCCTGGGCTACACTAAGGTCGAGGTCGGCAAGGAGATCACCGTCTCCAAGCTCAACAAGGGCAACCTGTCGGAGCTGCCCGACGCCAAGGCCAAGATCGAGTTCGGCGGCAACGTCGACCTGTTCACTGAGCTGCTGCAGGTCGAGGCTGAGGTTTCGAACACTGGCAAGCGGGAAGGCACCACCACAGTTCAGCTGTATATGTCCTTCCCCGAGAGCGAAGTCATGGAGAAGGCCTCGGTTAAGGTTCTCCGAGGCTTCGAGAGGGTGACCCTGGCACCCGGCGCCAACGCCAAGGTGCACATGACGAAACGGGCAGTTTTAAGTCCAAGTCATGAGGCGGTGCGCGAATCGTGTATGTCAGGGTTAGGGTTAAATAACCCATATAGGGCGCGAACCCGGGCGAGCGTATAAATGGGCGGTTTACGTCAAAGTTGCGCGGCCCCGGCGGGCGGGCGGGGTCGGGTTAGGGCCTGGGCTTTTCCAGATTTAGGGGGGTGTCAAAGGGGGATTTAGGAGGAGGAGGAGGAGGTTGGTCGTCAGTAGGACATCGTCAAGACAGGTCGTCAGTAGGGCGTCGTCAAGGCAAGTCGTCAGTAGACATCGTCAAAGACAGAGGTCCAGGAGCAAGGCGCGCGTAGCGGGACGAGGCCATGCGCTCCGCGGTCCAGGTCCAGGGCAGGGGATGTCTTTCTCTTGCCTTGCCTTGCGAGCCTTGACGACGGCCCCTCGGGCGGACGACCAGTATCGAGAAAGTGGACGACAGTCGTTCCAGCAGTTCCCGTGGTAGATGGGGGGGGACGGACGTATATACCCAAGCGAAATCAAAACAGAGGCATCCCGGACCAGGGTACGCCGGCCGCTCGGCACGATCGACAGCCTGCGCAGCGGAGGCTGGCCGCACATCGACCCGGCGGTGCTCAAAGTTCGAGGATTTGTTGATTGTAACTGTGACTGTTCATGGTCTTGTCTTCCTTGGTGACTCAGTCTCGCATTAGCACAGGCTGGAGGAAGATTCTGTGGTAGTGCCCAATACACGTTGGCCTATGTCGGAGCTTGATTGATTGATTGCGGGGCAATTGTTCTCCTTGCTCTCGATGTGAGGTGGACACAGTGGACCGCCGCGGAGCATTCCGACGCTGTGGCTATCGCTATCGGTGTGTCCGGCAGTGCGCTACAGGTGCTCTGCGTGAGCAGGAAGCGTCGTAATGCCGTACCGGACCTTGTACCTGAAGTCTGAGGAGTAGAGATCCATCTCACTGGGAAGCAGACGTGGACTGCACAACCAACCATTAGGCCTTTGAGCCAGTCATCCTGCTTCGAGGATGAAGCGAGGACCAACTTCAGCTGCATCGGAGCATCCAACTCAAGACCCAGAATGGACTGTCAGTCTTCATTGGATCGTTCTTCCTGATGCACCAGCCACCTTCCTACTGCGCCCATTCCAGGAGGCTTGCGTCAAGATGATGTGTCTTCCATCTGATCTCGCCTCAGCACCTTCCCATCACTGTTAACAGCTACCACTCAATTCGACCACATTACCCTGAAACTGTCAAAGACAAGCACGACCTCGAATCCCCCTCTGGTACCCGTACGACAGCAATACATCACAGTGTCCAATAACGTGCTCACGTCCTCGACTCCTATTTCCTTCCCCCTTGTCTGCCGTGCCTCGCGCGCTTCGTCCCTCGCGACTGAAGCGGATTGGGATCCCTGAACACGGAAACCCTCCTTTCTGTGGGCGTTATGGGTGCAGCGTTTGATTTGACGTGCTGTTAAAGATACGGCACGGACACCTAAGCAGCCGCACGCGCTCCACATCCGCCATGGCTGGGTTCCCGACGCCAACCTCAACCTCGACCTCGACCTCAGCTTCGATTCCCGCAGCCTCCCTTGACCCATACCTCTCCGTCGACTCGGGAGGAAAGTCGACACCCATCCTCACCCCGTCGCAGTCGAGCAACGGCCAGCCAGATACCGATTCGAACCCCGAGATTGACGACGACTGGAACCCATCACCTGCGACCAGCAATCCCGGTGGATACGTGGGACCCGCGCGCCCAGCCGAGCTCGACCGGCACGAGCGCGACACAGCCATCGACGACGACGACGACGACGACGACGAACAGCCAGCTAACCATCGATCAGTCCTCAAGCAGGACTTTACAGAAATGTCAACATGGGCGGGGCTACCCCATATCAAGGGGAGCTCCGAGGCGATGCGCATGGTCCTGTTGACCTTCAATGCCATCGGTATAACGTAGGTGGAACCCGCGTCGCGTGTCATGGCGACAGCTAGCACTGACCTTTACCCACAGCTTCACATGGGGAGTGGAGATGACCTGTAAGTCGCGAGGCTCGCAGCCCACGCCTTGGGAAACGGTGGATTGACCTTTCTCGTCCCAGACTGTACACCATATCTCCTAAATCTCGGCCTCACCAAGAGTAACACCTCGCTAGTGTGGATCGCCGGGCCCCTATCAGGGCTCATTGTCCAGCCCATTGTCGGTGTCATTGCCGACCAGTCAACCTCCAAATGGGGTCGCCGGCGCCCTTTCATCGTCGTGGGCTCCATCATTGTCGCCTTCTGCCTCATTGTCCTCGGCTTCACCAAGGAAATTGTGGGCTTTTTCGTTGCTGAAGAGGAGTCTGCTCGTGGGTTCACGATTACCCTCGCGGTGCTGGCAATTTATGCCGTCGACTTTGCCATCAATGCTGGTGGGTTGACTTGGATCCCTGAAAAGACGTGAATTGACTGGTGCATAGTCATGTCCTGTGCCAGGAGCTTGATCGTCGACACCCTACCTATCGAGAAGCAGCAAGCGGGCGCGGCATGGTGTAAGTGCGATGGTCACAACCTGTCACAAACGAGCTAACGCCGCAGCAGCTAGCAGAATGTCTGCTATGGGCCACATGATGGGATACGGAGCTGGCGCCATCGACCTGGTGGGCATCCTCGGAACGACTCTAGGAGACACTCAGTTCAAGCAATTGACCCTAATCGCCACGTTCTTCATGCTCTTCTCCTCAGCCGTCACGTGCTGGGCCGTCACGGAGAGGGTGCTCGCGTCCACGAGGCCTGGCCCTCGCAAGGCAGGCGGCCGCTTCAAGGTCTTCCGCCAGATCTGGTTGACGCTGCTCAACCTACCGCCGCGCATCCAAACCATCTGCTGGGTCCAGTTCTGGGCATGGATCGGGTGGTTCCCTTTCCTCTTTTACAGCACCACCTGGGTTGGCGAGACGTACTTCCGCTACGACGCACCTGAGGAGGCCAAGAACTCCAAAGACATGCTCGGCGACATTGGCCGCATCGGCAGCACGGCGCTGGTCATCTACTCGACCGTCACCTTCATAGGCGCCTGGCTCCTGCCCATGATCACCAGATCGCCCGACGACGAAAATTACACGGCCCGCCCGCCGCAGGGGCTCGCCACCTTTGCCGAGAAGCTCAGCAAGCGCAAGCCCGACCTCATGACCGTCTGGATGGTCGGCCACCTCATGTTCGCCGGCGCCATGTTCATGGCCCCCTTCGCCGCCACCTTCCGCTTCGCCACCTTCCTCGTCGTCATCTGCGGCCTCCCCTCGAGCATCGCCATGTGGGCTCCCGTTACCTTCCTCGGCGTCGAGGTGAACAAGGTCAGCGGCGCAACCGAGGGCGGCGGCCCCGCCTACCGCCGCCTTTCCGACGCTGACGACATTGAACTGCCCACCCTCGGCCCGGACCAGGTCCTGCACCTGGAGCACGGCCCTGAAGCCGCCGGCGGCTCCTCGTCGTCGTCCACGGGCGAGCTCTCGGGCATCTACTTTGGCATCCTCAACATCTACTCCACGTTGCCGCAGTTCATCGGCACCTTCATCAGCACCATCGTCTTCACGATCCTCGAGCCCGGGAAGAGCCCCGAGCTCGCCAAGGGGGCCGACCCCGCGGAGCACCACGACACGGACGGGCCGAACGCCATTGCCGTGTGTCTGTTCATCGGCGCCTTTTGCGCGGTGGGCGCTGCATACGCCACATCGAGGTTGAAACACCTCTGAGCGCGCTCGTGGCATGGGGGGACAGCGGATTGTTAGGATAGATGCGGATGTACATGGACGACCAAGGTGAAGGCCGCAGACGAGCCCAGCAGAGCCAAGAATCCCATCAAAGCGGACATGGCGTGTTGGGCATGTTCCTGTGGCCGCCGTTCATGTCCCCCGCCCACCTCTTCTTGCCCCTGGAACGATGTGTACTGCTTCCCACGCGTGAGGACTTGCTGCGCTGCATTCCGGCAAAACAGAAAAAAAGAAAAGAAAAAAGGGGGGGGACACAGTGACGAGCTCCTGAAGGCACCGGCAGTCCCATGTCTCCGAAGTCGAACAACGACCCGATCGCCGACGGCGTGGGCAAGGCCGGTCCTTCGAAGAGGTCGCGCCGCCTGTTGAATGGGGCCCCGCTGCATTAGCGCCAGCGCCAAGTGGGAGGTTGTGGTCCATTGGCGTCCCGGGGACCCCAGCGGCGTCAGGGAACCAGCACGACTAGGGTCGGGGGAGAAGGGGGGGAGGCGCTGGACCAGGGGCGCGGCAGAGCGCTCTTGAAGGGGAGGGGGGAGTAAGAACACATTGGCCCCTTTTTAGCGGGATCGACCGCATGATGTGATGAGGTTTCATTCCCATCGGCACGTTACTTGTTTACCTGCCGGGCAGCCAGGCAGCCAGGCAGGCAGATTGGTACAGGACGAAGGATTGCGTCGTTGCTGCTGCTGCGGCTCTGTATGGTGTTGCCGATTTCGCCGGTTAATCTTGGAAACTGCGGTTCTCGACGCCGCGACCTGCCGCCGAGCTCTGGCGGGCCCAGGGCCAGGACCACACAGCCAGACAGTCAGCCAGGAGGAACTCAAAGGTGGAACGAGCGGCCGTAGGGCTGCGTCCGGTCTGTACTCTGTGACGTGGGATCGAGCTTGGGCGACGCCCGGCCTCTCGGCGGCGGTCAAGCTAACAGGGTGACAAGGGTTGAAGGTGGACAGAGAGCTGCGGGCCAGATGGAGCGGGACAAGGCCATTTGAAATGCCGCCGACGGAAGCACGCCCTCTCGTCGGAAGACGGGCAAATTGGTGCGCTCTTCGAGGCCAAGCGTAAAAGGCGGGCGGCCCTTAGCCGACAGGCTTGGCAAACAATCAACCAAGTTGCCACCCCGAGAGTTGAGGAACAGCCCAGGCATGGTAGAACTGATTGGCTGTGGCGGTCAGTGCTCTATAACACCGCTCTGCTCCGGTGTAGTGCATCCCAACCATCACACATCCAGGGCAATGGGCCTCGACATCGCACTTGGCCTCTCGAACACCAGCGTTGCGGGAGAATAAAGATCCCAAGCTGAACGAATCACTGAGATGGCAGACGCCCTCAAACGGAGCGTAAACGGAACAGCAGTGCTGATACAAACCATCCGCCCCGTCACCCACGGCACGAGGCGGCAGTTTAACACTTGAGGCAGTCGCAACTTCAAGGTCGAGCTCCTGCGCCACGGCGCCGCAATGATTTCGACGAGCAGCCGACGCCGGTCGTCTGTCGGCGTCAGGCGGCAACAGCGGGTTCAGCCACAGACCGTCACCTTCGCGTGCTACTCTGTGCGGTTGAAGCGCCGCCGCCTAGTCCGTCCACAACGATGCTGCATCCCATCGCCGCTCCAAGTTGACTGACGAAATGCCGTTGGCCGACGTGAGGCAGGGTTTTGGAGGCGAGGAACCAAAGAGAGTGATAGCACGCCCATCCTGGCATCGACTGGAGTGCGTACCTGAAGGCGCTTGAGGGTCATGGCGACGACGTCGAGTCCGTCGCGTTTACCGCGAACGAGCAGTCAGAGAACCTAATCTCCCAATCGGCCTCGTCCAGTTTCACCATCTTTTCATCCTAGGGCCACTTGTCACCGCAGGCCTCATCACGATTGTGTTCTGCTACTTGTTCAAGAACTGGGTTACTACGAGGCGTTACGGAAAGGAGAGATGGAAAAGTACCGAGGGTCGTCAGTAGGCAGCACATCTGATGAGTGATACGCAGCGCTTCCATCGGCGCCAGTCGTGCTCTAATTCTTTGATCTGGCATTGGGAACGACCATCCCTCAAGCGCCGATAGCTTCCACGGATTGTTGCTTCTGACTGTAGCGCCAGTCACTGGCCGACCAGCTGCTGACACCAATCCCACGGCACTCAGGATGCTACCCCGACCCTACTGCATACTGTCAGAAGTACGATGTCTTCAAGGGCCCGCTCGTGCAGCTGATCATTTTTCGGGGAGGAAAACCAGCCTCTTCCCATTGTTCGATTGATTCTGATTATGTTCTTGTTCAAAGATCTCGCATGAAGATGTCCTCAGAAGGACAAGAATCAGGACTCCTCGCGTTTCAGAGGTGTCTGATGTTAACCATGTGTACACGTGCCAGGGCACGTGTGCACAATTGTTCTTGGTAACAAAATCCCTCCGGGGAGCAGGGTCAGTTTCTGACACATACCAGACTCTCGTGACTTCCTAGGAAGTCAAGTCACCAGAGCTCTCATGGACAATCACGGATCCCTCGCCACCAAACCTGTTTCCTAGGCTTGCCCGCTTCGTCCTGCGATCAGACGTTAGTATTACCAGTCGCTGAAGGAGGCCTTTACGCGAACGCTGCGACCGAGCAAAATGGCAAGCCAGACGTGCACTTGACGGCCACTGCACCTACTGCGCGCAGATCCTCCAGCGTATGTCCATCCCGCTCCATGAGAGAGCAGCAGTTGGCCTTGGGCAGCGGAGGAGTCTTGGCGATCTGATCCCGCCAACTTAGGTGAGATACACACAAGGTGTCCCGCTGCGCTGGATAACGCGTAAATGGCCGAAACTGGCCGAGGACGAATATGGCTGTCGCCTGCTTTTGACTTCACCCATCAAGCATGCATAAATCTAACGTCGGGTCTACTGAGTCCATTGCTGGGGGCAGACAAGCTACATCAATATGTCTTTCAACATGCTCTTGACGATTCTTCTCCTTGCCTTGCCCCTATCCGGTGCCCACTCGTGTGTCGAGCGCCTCAGACGGCTCGACTTGAACGGCACCTTGAGGGCCTTTGGAGGCCGTTGGCCGTTCTTTGGACCTCCTTCTGCAGCTCATGTAGTAGGCCGACCAGCGAGCGTTGAGACTGTCGTGCTGCTGCTGCAGGACGTAGGACCGCTCCTGATTCCCTTTTGGCGACCTCGCGATAGTTGTCCCGCACACTGCCGAACTGCTGGATCAACGAACGACCAGAGATCGTAGTCGAGCCTTCCGGTCATGTCACAGCTGCAGGGTCCGCTGTTGCTTGAGTGGCACTGGGATATTAGCCAACTAGCCGCGCGGCCAGCGATGGAGCGCTTACAATTCTCATGTAGCGAAAGTCCGCATTGATTGCTCGAGGAACGCCCTAGTCTCGCCACACCGCCATGGGGTGGTGGCCTGCTGGCGTATGCGTCGCTTGATCTTGCGTCATCGTGAAGGAAGATTGGGAGCTCTGGGCCTTGGTGCAAACATCATGATCGGGGATGATTTGTTCGGTCGGTATATATATTAAGCGTTACGAGTTCTGGGCCCAAGACACATCAAATTCGTGGCGGCATTTCACTCAGGCCCCGATCTGGGCCCTCGTCTCAACCCCTATGCTCCGCCGCACGGACTTGCTCGTCTCGTTCCTGAGCCTTACCTGGTGCAGCTGTAGGGATAAGGGCAAGGACATGGCCCTGTGGCGGTCAAAACTCAAGACTTATTCGATCTTCTTCTGAATAGCATGACATGACAGAACACTCTCGCGCCGCATCACCGGAACATGGATGCTGTCGTGTGGTACTCGATGGTCATCGGAGCCTCGCTAGCTGCTTCCATCTTGGTAGACTCTGCCTTCCCTTGTTTACCTTTGGCATTCTCCGATCCAACAGCGGCGCCCTATTCGTCGTCATGGCTGCTACGATTAGAGCTGTGGTGATCAGCACAGTAAGTCCAACCCGCACCGAACGAAGACCCTGCAGGAACCCTTTACCCCCTCCATGCAGAGCTCAACCTGGCTAATCAATCAACGCCATCCAGCCCGGGCCCGAAGGAGCAGTCTCGGGCAGCTCCTGGGCTTGCCGGGAGACTTTTGTCGCCATCGTCGTAACGAATCTGCCCATTATCCAGCCCCTGATTCGAAAAGCTGCCAACAAAATTGGACTCAGCACGCACTTCACCAGATCCTCGCCCACCGTAGCAGAAAGCTACCAGCTCGACAGAAACCCCGCGGGCACCAATGGCTGTGGTAGTCACTTCGATACGAGCCGGAAGAAGGGAGCAGCTCCACACCCGCTCTCAATTCCACAGGCTACAGCCTGGGGCAGTGACGAGTACATTTTGCACAATGGATTGGACGGCAAGAGTGCAGAAGCCAAGAATGGAGGAGGTCGTGATGTTATTGTAGATGCCCAGGAGATTCGCGTGCACACGGGACTGATGCCAATGATCGAGTCAAATGGTCGTCGTAGTTCTGACAGTGAAAATTACGGCAGGCTATAGTACATTGGTTATGTACCTCAGCTTAAATTTCTTTTTTTCTTTTTGCCGGTGACATGGAAAATTCAGTCGCAGTAACTAGTCCACAGCGGGCCAGCAGATTGCATTTACATTCTGTTCAAAGGACATTAAGCGTTACGCTCCTGCTCAATTATCCTCATCCTCCGCTTCGTACGAACGGTGCTGAGCTGCTATGGAGTAGATATTAAAACCGATAACATCATGTTTGGCATCAAGGACGATTCGGTTTTCACCGCATTCGAGGATCAAGAGCTGGTCGACCCATCTCCTCGAAAGACAATGGACCGACGAACCGTCTGTCTGTCACGCGAGCTCCAGATACCAAAGATTTACAGAGCACCCGAGGTCATCATCGAAGCGCCGTGGTCGTATCAGATCGATATATGGAACACGGGTTGCATGGTAAGGACTTGAACCGAACATGAGGCTTCGCAGATACAAGAGCTGACCCGCCCCTGTATCGTTTTAACAGATCTGGTATCTATTCCAAGGTGGCCACCTGTTTACAGGACACGACCCAGAGCATCAGACGTACCGCAGCACATCGCTCGAGGAGAGAGAGGTCGGCCTGGAAGGCGAGAGTCGAGAGAGGTTCCTCGCCATGATACGGAAGATGCTCCATTGGGTTGCTTCGAAGCGGTCCTCGGCGAAGGCGCTGGCCGACGAGGAATGGATCTTGGAGAATATGTAGAGAGGTATGAACGGGCCGCGCTTCCGACCGCGGCCAGCTCAGCCTGAAGTAGCAAACGCTCAGTTCTAAGTATGGGAGGGGGGAATGGGCATCCCCGTTTATAGGCCAGGTTCTACACGAGGTGGGGGGGGGGGGGGGGGAGTGGCGTGTTGGGCCGTTATCAGGGACCACGCATTCTCCAGTCGGCCCGTGGCCTTCGCAAAGCGTATCGTAGGTCGCACAGCTTCCATGTTTGGCTTCCAGTCGTCACCATCTGATGTCGTCTTTCCTCCCAAATGGAAGGAGATGTTGTCTCTTTGTGTGTCAGGGCGCAGGAGTATCTCAGCGCGTTGTTGCCCATCGTGTGCATCGGAGGAGGAAGTGCTCAACCGTTTCTCTCGCATGTCCGCATGCGCATTGAGCCGAAGGTACTGCTCTGATTCGGAAGAGTGAAGCGTTCAGTCTCGCCATGCCTATCCTAAGCTGGGCCAGCATGCTAGCCTCTACCCAGGAAAATTGTCATACAATTCTCGAGTATGTTTGCCGGGCAATGCTGTATCGATTTCCTTAGAGAGCTTTACAACGGTGTCAGGCAGCCGTCTCTCCACACACAGTTGATGCCTCGCAGCATTGAGGGCGGTGGATCTCATCTTTGGGAACTGCTTTTCAGGCGAATTACCCTCTCGGCTGGCATTTCGTGCTTCTTCTTTCGCTCTCTTCAGGAGGCCGTCCTCGAGACTACTGGGAAGCCAAACGGCTGTCATTGTGGTCCCGGTTTCTCGTAATCGACCAACGGCCTCGTAGATGCAGCGAACATACTCTTGTCCGGATTGTTGTCGGGGATTCCGAAGTGTCAGCACCGCGGCCTTGTTGCTCGTCAGTAACGTCACCCTCTGACCCCTTAGTTGCGGCAGAAACCGCAATGCATATGCCGCCGCCACGAGTTCTCCAGAAAACGGATTCTGATCGGTCCTCATGCCGTGGGTGAAAGAGAACATCTCGGGTGACAGACCTTCACGCTTTGCCCCAGACGAATCCCCTCCGGAGAACAACATCGCGAATACGAAAGTTTCGACGATTCCACTGTTCGCCGTTCTACCACCTGGCGACCTCGCTCAACGAGATTCCGATGGAGGAGCTGGAAACCGTCAACCCATTCACACATTAACGATGGGGCATGGCATCTTGTACTGTCTCTCAAGCCTAGCAAAAAGGGGCCAAGGGTTGTGTCTGAACATTGTTGCCTCGTTGGTTGAAGAAGTGGCCGCTGGCAGAATGGAGACAGCATAGGGAGTCTTCCTGCAAGCCTATCGAGCCTCAATTGGCGTGGCCATTGCGAAGGAAGTAGCGCCGTTATTAGGAGGGTCTGATAGAGGTTCTGTAGTGCTCTCAATAGCTATTCACCAGGCAATAACTTCGATGGAACTGTCTCTCCGATTCTCGGATTGATTGAGATTGGATGATACTCCATCTATACTCAAATCTGGTTTCGGGGTAGAACCTATTTCTTTCTCATTCTCCATCCCCGAAGGCGGGGTTGCCCTTCAGAAAAACCTACGACTCCAGCACAAATGATTTCGCATCCTGAATTAGGTCAGGCTATCCCACTATCCGCCCTTCACCTTCTGCCGTGTTTTGCCAAAGGGCAGCAAAGTCGTTGAACAGACTCTCCAGGTTCTCTCCTGGCCGTCCTGGCCGTCCTGGGCGCAGGGGCTAGGGATCACATGAAGCGAACGTCTCCACGTCAGCCAAGGTCGCGTCCCCAAAGAAATGCTCGACAATGCCTCGCGTGAACAAGCCCAAGGACTGCTTCAGCTTCTCCATGTTCTCGTCAAACAGTATGGTAATGTCGATCAGGTTCTGCATTGCGCCGTAGGGCACGAGGCAGGAGGCTCTGGAAAGTCGACGCCGTCTCATTCATGGTGGCCTCCATGCGGGCCACAGCCGACGCCGTCTCGTTCATGGTAGCCTCCATGCGGGCCAGCCGCGTGTCGAAGTCTACCCATGCTTTGCCATCTGTCCATGCTTGACTAGAATCAAATCAGGTTAGTTGGGCGAGCAGGGGACGAAGGCAGGGATGACGGTCAGTCGCAGTCGCAACACACCTTCGGTGGGCCCCACACCGGGGGCATGCGCCGCCGCTCCTCCCCATGGCAGCCGGCACGGAGGGGGGTGGAGGAGGAGGAACGACGTTGGCCGGGGTGGACGGACATGTTGGCAGGGTGAAGTCCAGGTCGGGCAGGTCGACAGGAGCGGACTGGAACAGGGCGGCTGTTTCTGGGTCCATATCGAGGAACACATCGTCCTGGTCATGCGAGTAGGTAGACGGGAGGGAGGACAGGTTGATGGACTCGGCGAGGAGTGGCCCAAAAAGATCGTCTTCGCGATGGACGGCCTCTTCGAGACGCATGTACTCCGGCCAGTGGTTCGTCTGGGACATGATGCGGATGTCAAGCGTGGGTGTCTCTGGTATCTGACGGTGATCTAGCATCTGACGGTGATCTAGCATCTGACGGTGATCTAGCATCTGACGGTGATCTAGCATCTGACGGTGATCTAGCATCTGACGGTGATCTAGCATCTGACGGTGATCTAGCATCTGACGGTGATCTAGTATCTGACGGGTGTACGTAGTTCGGTGGAGAGGCATACGGCGTAGCGTCTGGCCACCATGGACGTCTTCGTCTTATACGACGTGCTGGGGTCATAGAACGCAGACCTCGGCGAGGCGTCGTCCTGTGGTGTTTGGTGGGGTTGGTGTGTGTCTGGCGGGACTGGCGTGTAGTGGGAATGCATGTCCGACCCAACTGGCGCTTATCTGGTGCAGAGG